ACACATTCGGTCACTTCTCCATGCCGGCTCGAGCCAGCTCTCAATCCTCTTGCCGCCGAAACCAGTGCCCAAAGTCTTACTTGGGTCCTCATCGGCAGCTGTGATAGCTTGGAAGCTGGCTTCCATAGGAAGAACTAGTTCGTCGGTAGCTTCGGTGGGCGGGAAGTGCAGAGCGCGAGGATGCCACTCGGTTAGAATCATTAACGACTCAATTGTTCCGAGGGTTCGTAAACTGCCTTTGCGTAGTCCGCGCCAAGGTGCCGTACTGCTCGTTTGAGACTCGTCAAAAATGGCACTGGTGCTTGGTGGGACGCAAAAGCCACCGCCAAAGGCTTCTTGTCCCCATAAGCACCGCTCGATCATTCCCCGTAGATACATCCATAGTTGCTCGTGGATTGCGTGCGATCGGCAATGACCACCGGTACCGGGCATTTGGCGGTATCGCGAGGCGATCGTCAGAAGCGTCACGGTCAGAATAGGCTCTTCGTAAAGTAAAGTGACATGAGATGCAGGGTTGCTGAACGTGGGCGGCGATATAGGTGTCAAGGGAGACAGATATTTGTAGTAACTGTTAGAAGAATTAGCATATTGATTCTATCGCCAAGATTAAAGGTGGCCTTACTAGTCAATGTATTCGATAGCCTCGAGGGCTGTGAACCAACCAGCACGAACGAACCGGAAGCGTTGCCATGCCTTGATAGCTTCAGCATACCCGGGTTGTGAGCTAAGCTCAGGCCGTGAAAGCTCAGGGTCAATGGGCTGTTCTGTCTTTGGTGGTTTGGAAGTCGATCTGGGGACATAGCCATAAGGACCAGTATCCTCAGGTGGGGGGCGAGGGGGCGCAGGATGGGCAGATGATGTGCTTTCTCTGCGTTCACGGTCGACGGCGGGACTGTTAGGAATTAGCATTGAGCCTATAACTGATTGAGGGTCGAGTAGTCGCAGATCATACCTATCCGTCGCGGCTTTGTACAACAGGTCCAACGCATCCTGGGGACCAAATACGCCTCGCCGCATAACCGTTTGAGCCTCGATGTTCTCAAGAGTCTGGTTGGCATCGCCTTCCCCTCCCCACTCATCTCTCCCGCGGCCAGTCCTACTACCATCGGGACGACGGAGTGGCTGGGACTGTCCTCGGGAACCTCCAGGAGTCAAGGGAACATTGCTGTAGGACCTGCGTTCGATGAATGGCGGAGGGCTCGCATTTCTATTCGGTCGTTTGCGACCATTTCTCGTGATGTAATCGTCCTGATCACTGCCGTCATCATCTGTCTTGCGCTTGCGACGAGTAGCACTGAAGTAGCAATCTTTGCTTTCGCGACGACAGCGCACACATGGAGGATCGTGGGGGTTGTCAACACTGCCAAGATCGCATCGCACTTTGCGCCGCCGACAAGGGATACAAGCTTGATATACGCGCTTGTGTTGAGGTGCTTGATTTGCGTTTCCGCCAGGCGTCTGCTGTGCTGAACCTTGTGCGTTATTGATCGATGCGGCGGGGCTCGAGTCTGAGGCACCAGAGGCCGGTTGATACGGAGCCATTATCAATGGCTGAGAGTAATTTGGATGAGGTTTCGTTGATGTTCTTGGCGATCGGGATGCCGAGCTGAAATGGTGGTGCCGGGGCTCGATAAGACGCCCAGCGCAGGCGTCGACGACGACGTCGCCGTGGTCAGCTCAAAAGCGGGCGAGGCTCGAATTGAAGGGCGATAAATAAAACGACCAGGCTGATAGAATATGATGTCGCGTTTCGGTTTGCGGCGGTTCGGCGAGGGAAGACAAGAAAGCGTGGGCCGAAGAGAAGCGGACTGGGATGGACGACCTTTTTGGAGTTCTTCTGGGCCGCTGGGTTCGGTGAGTAGCGTGTATATATCAGTCTAAGAACAAGACCCAGGAAGCCGGACACAAGGGCTTTGATTCGAGTGCCCTGTGCGTGATCGTTCAGACAGGTACGTACCCTTATAGATACCTACCTAAAGACTCGACAGTGGGACTCAATGTGGGGGACGATCACTCAAGGCCAGAGACAAAGCAATCTCGGCCGGGAGGGGCCTATTCAATGGAGTCTGCAGCCTCAATTGGTGCGTGTTCAACTAAAAAAGACCTGGGGTAAAAGCTTTTCTCATTCCCTGTTGAGGGGAAGGGAGAGGAGATGTTGGTTCTCCGTACTGTACCTGAACAGTACCTACAGTCCCCAGCGAATAAGACAGCCTGTGATGGCTGTTCTGGGGGTGAAACAAAGATATCGGTAAAGCTGGAACAGATATGATAGGCTCAAAGGCTTTCGGGGAAGGTCACGAGCGTTGTCGTTATTTTTTTCTGTCGTCTTTGTCCAACGACTATCGTTAACACGTTGATGTTAGAAACCAACATGAACATTGGAGGGTTAAAAGACCTAGGACTTTAGGTCAGGGTGTAAAAAAAACCAATCAATGATCCTACTGAACACTGAACTTATCCTAAGATATCCTAAATCTGTCAAAGTAATTTTATCACTTGGGGTCAAAGTCTTACGTTTTCTACCATCCCCTAGGAGGCGTAGCACACACCAATTGTCAGGTGATGGGTTGTCAATGTGATACCTTACGTATTGGAAACCAAGAGTAACTTTCTTTGACTTAGGAGATGACACAGTACATACACAGCATAGCCATTCCAATCGAGATCATTACCGTTTCGCTTATGTTAGTTGTTTGTTAGTCCATATGCCAAGGAGGATCACAGGAATGGCGTCTCGTCTTTCGTCTCTCATCTTCACCGTATGTAATGATCACCTGCCTATTCTACTATAAGTTCCCAGCCCATTGAATAGAGTAGCATCGCCTACAACATCGACAGAATTTTCAATGGCACCGTAGGAAAAAGTCTAGAAAAAAAGAACAAAAGACCCCAGTTGGTCAAAAGTTCACGTTATCCCGAGACAGGCAACTCGATAACCAAGACCAAGCCTCATTGGCTCACCCGGGATTCGATATCGTTTTCCTGCAAAACCGCTGCAGGCGATCGAGAAACCAGGGGCCAGGATCCAATCTTGTGCAGCCATTAGAGGAGCAAGAGAGCAACTACCTGAGCCTAGCAACTAACTTCCATCATGATCTTCCTCTAGGTAAACTTTGTATGTCTAGGCCTGTTTGGCATTGACAGCTGAGAGTCAAACAACTGTCTTTGTGCAGTCTTTCACGACATCGATATCAAAGCCACGTTCACAACGGCATATCCATAACTTCGAGCTTCATCAATACGCATCAGCACTTATCTAAAGCCCCCCTTCCGCCCCTCCTATATCTACCACACAACCAATCATGAATCTGAGGCGCACGTCACGTTGACAACGCCTCCATCTTGACATGTTTTACATAACTAACGCGTCGGTCTATCAAAACCATCTCTCACTCGTCTCGTAAGAATTATCTAGAACAAGAAGGACATAACCAATCCCCGCAACGACAGCACCAACAATGGACGTGCAGCCTCGAGTTGCGCGCTATCCCTGCCTCTTATTGTGGATTGTTTTACGTCTTGGCTTTTTCATGATGGTCGAAATCCTCCTAACCCCACAGAGAAGAATGCTACCCCTGCATTCTCTTCATTCGTCAATGACAGCTATCAACAACCGTGATGTCTCACACACGCTTCTCACTTACATATGTATGTGTAGTGACTTAGTCTGTAGCAACACAATCTTGCATATAAATGCCCGTCTTTGTCAGATTTCCGGGCCGGGGCCGGAGCCGGGAAACTACATGATCCCCTAACCCCGGAGGGGAACTCAAGCAAGCGGCTGGCAAAACGCCCAACTTGCAGTCACTTTTCTGATATCTCACCAAACGACGCCCTATTGCGTGCCATCGTGTGAACCACCAAAAGACCCTGCCACGATGTGTACGTAACAACAACGCACTCAAGCGGAGAATAACTCCTCGCTTGCTTATCTTTGTCCTCCACTGTGTCCATCTCCCCGTCACTGCCGGGAAACCCGTGCAAACAGATCCCCGCTCACTTCCTGAATCAAGGTGACACTGCTACTCAAGTCCCACAAGTGCTGATGCGGCTCACCAAGTCATCTACCAGAGTTGCGTCTCAGCCGGACCGGTAGTTGGAGGATATGAGGGTATTGCTTTGTAGATGATTTGAAGGGGAGTGGTGATGATGTACTTCAATAGACGTGGACTGTTGATGGGCTCGTTGTCTGATATTGGCACGAAGGAACTAGAGATTCGGAACCATATTGAACACTCCCAACCAGAATCTTGACCCTTCATTGCTTGAACACAGCACCAAAAAAATCGCAAATATCACAATACCCTATTACCCAAGTAATCATAAGACTACAATAACGATATCCGCACGTAAGGCATCAGAGGCCATGTCCTTATGATCCAACCTACTTGTTTGGTATCCTCAATTTCGTGATCAGGTTTCAACATCTATGCAGCGATTTGCATCGAGACGCATATACTCGGGTATCCAGGCCGGGCAACGTCCGTAATGACACGGCCCTCCGTTACATCCTCTGCCCACGAGAAACGGCAAGATTCAATGACTGACCCGATTGAAATGATCCATCCGGTCCGTTGAGCTGACCGGTCGAAGCCGAGCCAAGCCTTGGTTTCATTGGCCAGTTCTCCTTAGACGTTCATCCCCCGGGCCCGAAATCCAACTTCCATCCCTCACCGGGGTTTTTCTTTATTGTTACAGCAACCTCTCACATCACTATATCTGGGGAACGATCAAGACAAGAGGGTAGCATATGGTACAGAACTTTCAAAGGGGATAATGCTGTAGGCAGTTGCTCCGTTGGAACACATAGTTAAAGAAAAAAAAGGTCAGATACATCATTTTGGTTCCCTTTCCCTTTCTGGTCCGTCCCCTCCGTGCTCATTAACTCGTCATTTTCCTAAATCCAGATGCTTCAGCAACTCCCAAGCACAAACTATAGACCCATTTGTCGATGGAATAACATTAGAGGTATTAACAATCGGATATGGTCACTTAAACATCTAGCCGACAAGGCCTTTCTTGGACTATTGCCACATCGACGGGGTCAGTAATCAACGAAACGCTCAGCAATGTCCGACGGGAAAACTTACAAGGTGTTCCCAAAGCTTCGACGTCAAGCCATCCGGCATAGTGTAGAGATCAATCGAGAACTCTCCGGCTTTAACCAAGTCATCCACTATTAGCCCACCATATACATCAATTTCATGGAAAAGACAAGGGTGGATATGCAATCAAAACGTAAAAGAAGGGGCAAGGGTACGAATGGCGATGCAAACTTGGTGGGAGAACTCACCTTCCACATCACTTCTAATGTACGTGTCTGGTCCCTTGTTTTCGTTGATGATCTGAATTACCCGCAGCAGATCCTCCTCCTCGAGCTTTTCCAGGGACTCTGCAATCTTCTCGTAGTCGTACTTCTGGGAGCTTTTCTTGGTCGCAATTCCCTTCTTCTTGGGCCTATGGTCGTCATCGGTGGGAAGAGGACCAGTTTCGCGCAAGCGCTCCTGTAAGTTCTGTGAAGGGTTTTTGAAGACCACGGTATGCGTCTGCTCATATCGTTCCTGTTGGAAGTTGAGATCATGAATGATAGGCGCTAGCTTGGTCTTCTCCGTGGTGTAACAGTCGATGGAAATCTCGAACTCGCCCCATCCCTCGTTCTTACACGTGAAGGGTGCTTTTTGGAAGCCTGATGGGTAGCGCAAAGTTGTTAATCGTCATGCCTTGACTCGCATTTTCAGAATTTTGTCTCAAACATACTCTGAACGGGATTATCAAAGGTAGGATGTAGATTATAGACGACCTTGGTGAAGACATCTGCGGGGCGCTCATTGCCATCCTCATCTAGCAGGAAGACCTTCAAGCTCCATTCTCGCATGGGAAACGCCTCTACGGGCGACGGCTTGTCGCTAGTAAAACACGATTGTCAGTACCTGAAAGCAGGTTGCTCGAATCGCTTCTGGAAGCAGCTCTTGATCGGAAGGGTATACGATTCAAGAGAAGCAGCCAAGACGTCGGAAAAGATTGGCGCAAACCTACATGACATGTTGCTCGGTGACAACTTTGATTTTGCGCTCCAAGGAGTTAGCGTTTGTTCTAAGTGTCACTCTGACGGGTGCTGCTCGTGAACGGCGCGGAGCCATGATGATGAGTTGTTGGAGTGCAGTATCTAGGTGTTTGGAGATGTGGAAAGCTGGGCAATAAAGCCACACGGTAACACAGAACTCCAAATAGATGAAGTGAGTTTAAGACGCGCTGGCGCACAGTGTAGGCATGAAAAGAGAAGAGAGAAGAGATAGAAAGGCGTGGTAAACTGCGTGACAGAACGTGGTGGATAACGAGAATGAGGCTGCAACGCGTTGCAAACAAGCTCTAAGAAGTGCAAGAGCACAAAAGCAAACATGAAGACAAAACCAAGCACTGCAGCTGCCAAATAGAAATCATCATGGGCATCCATAGCTGGTGTTCTGTCTCTGGCTGTCCGACCTCAACGCGCGACGCTTGTCACTGTCTGTGACTGACACGGACACTGGCTAGCACTGGCAGATACGAAGAGACCGCGACCAATCTTTGCAGAGCCTCACCGCGCGACACACATGAGCGTGAAGCGAAACAAAGTCAAGCATGACACAACCATGGTCAAATCAAATACCCAAAGACAACAAAGCTAGAGGCTGCGACTACAGCTCGAATGTGACAACCAAAGAGGCGAAACCGACGAAACAATAACATGAACGAACACAGGAGCCGAAGGGGGGCAAAATGATCCGAATACATGTCGAAGGAGCAGGGCAATGCGATTCGGGGAGTGGATTGGATTGGATCGGATTTTCAACTCACCTCGACCAACATCTTTTCTCCGTGTCGATAAACAGCAATTGGAAGTAGCCAAACGTGGAGGGCAGATTCGGAAGATAAAGAATGGCCAAGAAGATGGACGTGGATACACAATGGACACACAAATGATGAGGAAAGGATGTGCTGCGTCGGGTCGGGTTACAAAGACGAGCAAGGGGACAAATTCACAAGGTACAGAATGGATGGGATTGGAAACGAAACGGCGGCGGAAAACGGAGACACGCCAGCTGGTACCAGCCAAAGACAGCCCAGGAGACAGTTGGTTGCTTGCTGGTTGCTGGTTGGACGGGGCAGCAGGGCAGAGAAAGGCTGTACGGATATGGGCCCCCAGGCAGGCGCAGTCAAGCCCAGGTCCAGGTAAGGTACTTCGATCTAACAAAGAGCTGAGGCAAGTAGTGAAACAAGACGACACGAGTTTGCTGATATGAACTCTGTAGGGAATAGAAGTTGAGGAAAGAAAGTGGGAAAAGAACTCTAGAGGAGATGCCCTAAGCAACAAGCTGATCTATCATAGACTCGACGCGAACGACCAAGACGTGATTTTGTTTTTGTCTCCTGTCTCTGTTGGACTTGCGCTTATAGGGGAAGGCGTCCAGGTTCCAGGGCACAGGACAGAGGACACACTGAATCGCTTGCTCCACAAAGTTACCGCTCATCACTACCTCTCACTGGCCTGGCCTGTGCTCCATGCTTTTTTCTTGGCTCGTCATGTCCTGTTCCGTCTTTTGGGTTCCCCAATGACGTGAAGATACCAACAGGAAGAGATATAATAGAAGAGGAGTTGAAGTGACGGGCTCTATTGTGGACTGTCAACTCTGCTTGTAGATTGTATAATCTGCCAGGAGGAGTATCTTGATGGCGACATGTAAGTTCTTCCATAACAGACGAACAAAGAACAACCCGGTTGGCCTCCAGCTTCAAAGCGCACAGAGTATGCCTTCCCTCTCGCTGGGAGCTGCATCATGATCGAATATAAGCTCAAATAGTATTATTCTTCAATTATTTAACTCGAATCTTCATCACTCAGGAGACGAGCAAACATGACGGTGAGACTCACCAGCCACAGCTCTCATTTCGACGCCAACATCAGCCACATTGACTGCCCACAACTTATCAAACTCGACTCACTAACAATCAGCTTATATAGTCATGAACAACATGTCTATGGAATTTTTTTTCTTTTACTTCTTTCAACAGGGTGCTATGTGATATGATGTTCCTATGATGCTAACTATCCATCCGTCCATCCATCCACCAATCCGCCCTGGGGCTGAACCGAGGCAGTCCACCTCAAAAATATCATTTCCTTCCTAGGAATCTCTATCTATCCATATCAAAAACAGACTCGGGATTTGGTGTTGTGGCGTGGGTGAAGTGCGCGCGTGTATGTGACGGTCAAGCGTCCTCGTCAGTATGAGGAGCTTGCTTGATGTTGTGGCATGCTGTATGGGAGTGTTGGAGTGGTCTCGCTTCTGTACACCATGGAGCCACGAACGAATGTGAGCCCCTGATGACATACAGATCCATCTCCGAAGGGGCAGGGGAAAGGGGAGGGGCCGTGGGAGATAGGCTGCTTAGGAGGCGGGAGCCTCGGCCTCCTGAGCCTTGTTGAAGATTTCCTCGTTCTCCTTCTGGGCCTTCATGAAAGAGTCCTTGAAGTTGTTGGCGTCTAAGAATAAGTTAGCGATTGACTTTGATCGGAGTTTATTGACCGGTGGAACATACTCTCAGCGTTGGCAAATCGGATAGCCAGAGTAACAGCCTCGGGCTCACCCTCGCTGACATCGGCGGCAGCGTTCCACACCCAGCTTCGGTCGGAGCCAACGTTGGGGGAGAGCTTCATCTCGGGGACGATGTAGTGGTTGGCGCAGACCTTGAGGGTCTTGTCGCGGCGCATAACCAGTCGGGTTTTGCCGTTCTCCTTGTGCTTGAGCAGACGAACGTCGCCAGTGCCACGCTCCTTCCACTCGCTGCTCTCCTTGACGAACTTGAAAAGCTTGGCGCGCATCTTGAAGGTCTGCTCCTCGGCCTCCTCGTTGGTCTTGGTGTCAACCTTCTCGGTCAGCTTAATAACGGGCTCGAAGTGGACATCCTCGGACTCGGGAGCCTCCTCCTATTTAAGTATTCCTGTTAGCCTCATACGTTTCGCGGGGATACGGTTCCAGCATGCCACTGCTGAGACATGTGAACGTACCTCGTCACCCTTAGCAGCCTCAGCAGCCTCTCGCTGGGCCTTGGCACTGCCAGAGTTGTCACCACGCTCCTCCTCCTCCTTCTTCTCCTTCTTAGCACCACCACCGAACATAGAGAAGACGGACGAAGATGTCACAGGCTTCTCAGCCTCAGCGGGCTTGGTCTCCTCAGGCTTGGTCTCCTCGGGCTTGGTCTCCTCGACCTTGGGCTCGGTGGGCTCGGAAGCAGACATCTTGATAGTTTGCGTGTTCGGTTGAGAATGTAAACTCAAAGTTCTGTTGCCCCTCAGACGTCAGCAACTTTTTTTGCATATCCAGGATCCCAGTCCCGCAGGCATGGCTTTTACCCCTCCTCAGGTAGGGAGGGGCTCAGGGCCTTTATTGCCCCAAGCGTCTCATGGGGAGGGAGAGAGGAGCAAAAACCAGACGGAGGACAGCGTGCGATCAGACTTACCAGATAAGCGAAATGTAATTAGGAAGATGCTTCCGGGAAAGCAAGGGATGGTGTTGAAAGTTTATGCTGTGGTGGTGATGGATGTATGGAAAGTAGATGGTGGAAGTGGGTTGCGGTCAAGGTCTGGTGATTTGTTTTCACTTGGGCTTAGGTTGTCTGTCCGTCAGGCTGCCGTCCCGCCTACTGTAAAAAAAAAACTGAAGTGCCCCTCCTTTCCCCTGGGCTGTTGTGCCCTCCACTGTTGCTCCGTGCTGATGCTGCAAGAACTTCTGCGGCAAAAGTCAACAATGCTACCTTGTGATTGGGGACAGCTTTGAGCTCTGAAAAAGTACCTTTATAGTCATTATTAGCTGCAGAGATACTTGCTAGGTCTTCAAGCAAGTAATCGGGCAGGGATTGCAGGATTGCCTGTGGAGTAACTCATCAGGTGGGGCTTAAAGCGCAGGATTTTGGATGCTCGTTATGAACCAAGGTATTACTCTAGGATTATGTTCGTGAATGTTAGAGACCTAGAATATAAAGGCATGTGGAGTATGGAGCATTTCATGTGCATTAATTACTAAGAATCTCACCGTCTGTTCAAATTTATATCAGAATGCTTCACTTTCGCAGCAGATATCTAGTTCCAAGGCTATTCAACAATGGTTTTATTTGTTTAGTTCCGTTGCTAGGAAACTGACTCCAAAGCTCATTTCCACTGATAAGTGATACGATTCATGAGTTGAGATTAAGTAAATTATGTTTATTTACTTTACTATAGTTGGTCTCCTTTTTGTCCCATCTTACAAGCAACTCACCACGCCAGCAACGAATCACTTTCCACCCGGATATAAAGACACTCAAAGCTGCTGAAAGGGGTTCGTCGATTCCGTTGACTATCATAGAAATAGAAGTGAGGAAAGAGCAACCATAATAGAAAAAAGACGTCTACAGATGGTATGAGACCCATGAACTCCAAATCCACCACCGGCCAAAATAAACCTATACCCCAGCATTGCCAACCCAAGTCCATCCTTGGCATATAAGTCCTCGCCCAACGATAATGGTGAGGAGATTAACATGGAAAAGAAACACCTTGCGCCATAACACACATAAAAGAATCAAGGCCCTTTTTCTTCCACTATGCCTTCTGTCCTTCTCTGGTGTCTCGACGGTTCTTTGAGGCCCACCAAGCACGCAAGACTTGCTCAAAATCAGACGCCCTACTGGTCTTGTTGTTTGTCTTTCGAAGCTCCCTGTTATTTAGAAGTGTCTTGGCCATGAACTGCTTGGCCGCACGTTGGTAACGAGCATACTCTTTCTCTCCTGCAGTATACTTGAGCCACCAGAGCTTAGCTCGGATCTGAGCATTTAGCAACTCCAACTTTGCTTGTTGTTGCATCGCTTCCGCGCCAGGCATGTACTGCTTGACATCACCCGCAACAGCCTCCAGTTGCTTCGAGATGCCCTCTCTGGCCATCTTGGCACGGTCTCTGATATCGGTCTTGATCCAGCTCAAAGATCGGTGGGCCTTTTGGAATCTGAGTCCCAAGTTCTTGACGACGCTGTCAGATGTATTCATAAAGTTATCAGAGGCTGTTCCCAACGAGCGTTTGGCTTCCTCGAGGCACCGCTCTGCCTCTTGAGCAGCAGCGGGGACAAGCTCTGGAAAGTGTTGAGCAAAAGCCCAGGTAGAGTCCAAAGCCTCTGAGATGATTCCTTTCTCGAATGTGATACGAAGGACCTTGTGAACCTTAGGTCGGCAAGTAGTGAAAATGTCAACCTTGATTGTTCCATGGGCTTCCTCCTTGGGAATCTTGAGAAGGATGCCTTCGTCAACAGATGAGGTGCCGAATCCAACGGATTGATCACCTCGCTTGGCGTCGAACTTGAGACAATCACGATCAAGCCATAGTTTCTTAGCACTTCGAGGCATGTGGATTAAAAAGCCACCTCGTTGTTTGGTAACAGTCACCTCGGGCTGCTTGCCACCCCAGAGCCACTCATCGGGTCGGAGATTCTCAAGAGGAACAAGAGCTGTAGGTCCCGCTGATGTAGAAAGAATCTGTAATGTTGGCAATGAAGTATGACTTGAAGTCAACAGAGTGGGGTGAGTTGTGACAGCGGAGGTGGCTGCGGGTATGTGGGGTACTACTTCTTTCGATAGTGGAGTGTAGCAGGTGCGGATCAACGATATCAAGACAAGGGCGAGGACCGCAGGGAAGATAGATTTGGCGAATTTGATCACTGCCTCCCTGGGGCGGATCGGATGGGGCTGGACTTCCTTCAGCCATTTATTGAATCGTGCTCGCTGACTCTCTGCCTGCTCTTGAAGATCATCAGGAGAAGGCTTCTGGCTGGGGTTGTCCTCAGCAATGCTAGCGTCGGGGCTAGGGATCGATGGGGTCTTGAGGCTCTGTTGAGTATACTCAAGAGAGCATCTAGATCGAGCTTCATCCTCTGATTCAGATTCAGGCTCAGCTTTAGTAGCAGGCTCAGGCTCGGGTTCTTCTTCTGCCTCGGTCTCGGCCTCAACCTCAGGAAGAGGGCCATTTTTTACGACTGAGGCCCAGCTTTGCTCTGCTCGTGGAGTCTCGATTATATCCATAGGCTCAGGCACAGACATATCCTGTGGCTCTTGTACAGGATGTGAAACAGGGGGTTCGTTCTCGTCGGCAAGAGATTCGTCGTCGTATGTCTGCTCAGTGCCGGCGAGGCTGTGGACATCTTCGGGATAGTGTACGTCGAGGGAGCCAACAGACTCGCTGATAGACTCAGTGTAGTTTCCATCCTGAGACTCAGTATCGGTGCCCGAGATTAGTTCATAAGTGGACTCGGACAAGCCAGTGTCCTCAGTGGTAGTAGTGATACGCATGATATCTGGATTACTGGATGAAATCCAGTTGGCGAGATGCCGATTGCCTTGAGGGCGAGGAAATCGTAGAGTAGGTTCAGAAGTCGACAAAGAACTTCGGTTCGATGATATTGTGATCGGACCAGGCGTTGTCGGTGTTGTCGGAGGAGGAGAGGGACTCGAAGTTCGACGCTGGGTAGCTGGTGTAAGCGAAAAGGTCGAGGGTGATGACGATGGGGACTGGCGAGTCGATCGGTGTTCAGTATCACGGTGGACGGCAGAAGGAGTGAATGAAGTATCAGGGTCCTGCTGTTCCATAACGATGCGAAGATACAGTAAAACCAGGGTCTATCCCATCAGAAGCTTCATAGCAAGAAGCAACCTGCGAAGGATAATACGATGAGGCGTCAGGTGAAGTCGGATTGCGAGGGGCAAGTGAGAGTGAGGTGGGAGGATAAGGTGAGGGGTGAGCGGAAGGCCGGATAATGGGGAAGGGGGGTCTGCGTAGGACTGCGATGGCGGGGGAAGCCTGGAGGAATATTGTGGAAGAATAGATGTGAATGGATGTTTATTTCGTGTTTGTGGAAAGGTTGAGTTTAAGAGAGAAAAGAAGAGAACTAACAGGCGAAGTTGGAGTCACAAAAATGTGGCCTCAACGCAGTCTGGAAGTATCGTTGTTCCAGGTTGCTCCGGGTCCGTAAGGTCCAATGTTGGTGAAGGCGTATAGACCGAGCTTGGCCTGCCTCGCTGCCTGGGGCTGTCTGTCTATGGCCAAAGAGCAAGGCAGCCAAAAAGAGGTGGAGATTTGGCTATTGTGTGCACTTTACGTGGCAGAGGTTGGTCAAATAGAAATCCAGTGCATTGCTGAGGTCAAAAACTCAAATCCAAAGGTTCCTGTTGCGTTGATGCGATGAAATGTGTCGCTGGGCGGCTGACTATGATGATGGCGCACAGTCTGGGGTTCGGGTTGTGAGGATAAGCTCGGGCTTCAAGGCTGATAAGATCACGTTGTGTGCCCTTTGCTGGTGTCGGAAGAAGGGGCTCTCTTCGCATATGGGCAGCTCAGAGAGTCAGGAGCGGACAGTGTTGATGGATAGGAGAAGAGAGACAGGTTGCGTTAGAAAAGATGGATGGAATAAGGCAGACGAAATAGACATTCACTCCCTCACTCAACCTGCAGGTAGTCCAGTTGTGGATCGCTTTGAGCTTGAGCTTACATGACAGATGCTTCGAATTATGGCGTTGCTCTGAACCTAAAATACGCACCCTGTTTCCTGTAACTTTCTGTAAGCTTGAGCTCTAGACATGTTACTTTATCAACAGAAGCGATGAAGCATTTTAATCATCTATTCACCACCTCTCAGGGTTGTTGTGATGTGTTTGATGTCTTTCCCGTCCTCGTTGTCGTCACTTAAACTGGGGTCCCTGCTAGCACCAAAGAGGATCCATTTCACGCCCATTTAGATAGGGCGACAGCACCAGGTAGTTGCTCAAGTCAAGTTTCAAGCTTTTTGTTAACTTTCAAGTCTGCAAAGTGAAAACATTTCATCGAGTCATATATCTTGTACCACTTTTATATTAAACTTTCTTCGTCCTGTTTGTTTTTCACTTCGTGGTGACACGTCTCTGATATTCAGTTTCCTATATCCCCAAGGTAACTTCATATGGGCTTATCGCTTTGCATGCTACTATCGAACCCTGCACCCCCACCATGAACCGTCGTGACCTCTTAGCGCAACTGCGGGGTATGATACTGCTGTTTCGGGCTGAAATAGCCCACTCATTAGACCCCGTGAGCAAACCTCCCGTCTCATCTGTTGTGCTATCAGGTCAGTTTTGAGATAGACTTAGCCGCCGAACCCGATTTCTGTTCTTCTAAATATTGCTATTTAGTCAAGCGCGAGATAAGACTCATAGGAGAGTCATTTCACGAGCTTGTGAATTACACCATTCTCACCGCTATGGTTCAAGTTGTTCAACTACTTGTACAATGCCCAAAACCAACAATAACTAACCAACCGCCGCCCTAAGATGCAGCCCCATGTCTCAATATTCTTCTCATACGTATACGATATTTATGGCATGACGTAAGATGCAATTCAATCGCCCTATTGTATCCCTTTCTGCGGGAAGAATGGCACCCCTGGTTGGGTAATCTGCTCACGCAGGCGTAACAACACCGGATCACATCTATATCAGCTTTATCCAAGAGCACCATGCCCATAAGGATAAGCTGATCAAGAATAGGGATCAGAGCCCATCCTTTGCGTAAGCTAATACACCGGTCGAAGATAAACAAAGGGATTGCGATTTGTATCACCATAAGTGTTCCTGGTTTACCATGCTTCCGTATGTCGTCCAATCCTCAGCACACCAGATTGAAGGAGTGGCCTTACTAATAGCACCATTTCAAGATTCAAAAGAGGTAGTATAAATGATATATTTTATGGGATTTCAATCGCTCTCCCACAAGGATTAACGTATCCCAAGTACCCCGATGTCTACATATCCACATAAAGGTAGGAGGGTATCTCTATCTGCATTGCAAAAGTCCAAATTCTATCCAGAGGCTCCAATATCATTGCATTATTCTCGTGCACTCTTCTCTTCAGCTAAGTGAGCTAGGTCCAGTATTCTAGCTCTTCCTCCTGCTGCATCCATAATCCAACGAGGAAACATAATGCTAGTAAAACATAAGAAATTTCAAGCGTGTCTTCCTCTCCAAGGTAGATCCGACGCTGTGTTTGGGTATCGTAATCAAAGGCGTCAACTGGTAGTGATGCCCATGGGAATAATATAGTGATTGTGTGTCGTAGACGTGGCCGCATTAAGGTGGTAAAGGTATAACAAAGATGACATAACCCAGCACATTATAGAATAGTGTGTTTTTGTAGTAGTTGCTTCAACGATGAGGTGCCAAAGGTCTCATCATCGGGGATCATCTCGATCAGGCCTGTTAGGTTGGCGAACAGGTCACCTTGATTTCGATATCCGAGCATAGCGGGCACGGCGGCGTTGTCAAATTCGATCTCTTCATAGTGGACCTTGACGAAGTGAACCTCGGGGTTGGTCTTGACAATGGGCATGAGTGCTGACTCGATAGTAGCAGAGACCTCACACTGGACGAGTTAGCATCATGTTGGTTAAAGGGACGAATGAATCAAAGCATACCTCATGATCATACACAAACACGACAACAGTAGTCTCCCTTCCGACCTTTTCGATGGCATCGAGGTATCCGAGGGCATCAACCTCGTCTAGTCGGCCATAGATGCGTACACTGGGACTTGTTCGTCGGTTTCTGACAGATCGGCTGGCCTCGCTCTCGAGTTCACGTCGTCGGCTCTCGCGCCACTCAGCAAGGAAAGCCTCCTCGTCGGCATCACTTGCGCTCTTCGCATCGTCATCGCTGCTCTCGGTATCGCTCTTCACGGGAGTAGGAGCTTCAATGCCGAAGATGCTATTGCGGGCAGTGCGGACTCGGTGTCGCCACTTGTTCTTGCGGGCAGCCTCGTAGTTTCTCGCGTCGGCAATGACTCCCTTGACGCCAGTAGCGCGGCCACTGTCGAAAGAGACAGGAGGGAGCTTGATCTCAGAGGCGCCAGCGCCGGTGAGGCGATCGACAGTAGGCATGCGCATTGCGTTATCGATCTGGGCGTTACGGAAAACGTCTTCTTCGGAAAGATCTTGGTAGTTCTTGAGATCGGGGTCGTCACGGTCCTCAGGGTGGAGGGTTTCGCGATATGTGTTCTTGGCGACCAGGTCGTTAAACTCTTCTTGAGCGGCAGTTGACATGACGGGCAGACTTGGGGGGAGGGGGAGATTTAATATGTATGTGTCTCGCAACAAAGTGTAAAGGTGAAGATGGTCAATGCCAGAGCAGCATCCAGGGCCGGACTTAGAAACACAAGTGTTGTATCGTTCTGGAAGATGTGGAGAAGGGGGGTAGAGGAGAACAGGGCACACAAAGGCGAAATCCGAGTTAGAGAAGACCACGCAAACAGGAGTTTATCGATACAGACAAGGATATGGCCAGGAACAGGGCGGTGAGATGAGCGAAAAGCTTGGATCCAAGGGTCAAAAGGTGACGAGGCAATCGAAGTCTAAGGGGATGGGATCCTCTTTTTCCGAGCTTGGTTTGTTTCAGAATTCGAGTCTTTGGTGAAGGAATGTTTAAGGAGGCAAACGGCAGGCATGCAATCGACAAGAAACAATCGAGGAACGCGGTCGAGCCACCTGATGATCTGTCCTGGAAACGGTCAGAGGGCGCAAGACTCGGGCGGAGCAGGGATTGAGCGCTCGTTGCAGGGCGCCGAAATAGAAACGCCTTCACTCAATTCGAATGGATATGGAAATGAGGATGACAATTCTGGCAGTTGGTGGATCGCGCACCAATCAGATTATGGAATAGTAAGCTGAGTATGGTGATGCTAATACCAACCATAACCTTAAGATGCCTTAAAGCAGCCCTTAGAATTGTATTAATGCAGATCTTTTGTTTGGCACCTCCTCGATCAAGATAGACTCGGTAGAGCACACTCCTCAATAGGTTCTCTGACCGCCCATCAAGATTTCTTTTCATCATTGGGTCCTAAAGTCTTCTGATGCGACAACAATAAGACACAATGGGCGCAGAATGGCTCATCAAATGCAAGCCACGCGAGTAGTCAGGGGCGGATAGCTCCAGATTAAGCAAGGATCCAGGGTTCACAACGGCTTTTTACACTTAGAGCAAAAGGCTACGTCTGTGTTATTAATCGGCATGGCCGGATATGGATGCTACGGATGGATGGGAAATGGTCGATGATGTTGCATTCCGTTCTGGGACGGGTCACCTGGCCCGAGAAGTTAATGGGACTAAATTGCTGTTGAAGTTGGACGAAATGAGATTTGATGCGGGAAAGTCGCACCAGTGAGTGCCAGATGGGCTGTTCAGGGGCAAATGTGATGGAAGGCAACGTACCAGTTTTTGGTATGTGGGAGAGGAATTCGTGTGCTGTTTTGGTCGCTTTGACGATACGATCTAACGGTAAATCAAGACGTGAGCAGCCCGCTCATGGTTGAATCACCAGATCATGATCGTATCAAAACTTGGCCTCGTCTGACCTGAGCTTGAAATGCATCAAACAAAGCGCCCAAGGCAACGGAACCACCATCCACACTCACTCACTCACTCACTCACATCAAGTTCTGCGACAATCCAGAAACGGACTCGGCCATGCCACGGGTTCCTGGCATGAACTGACAGGCATTTAACCCCAATCAACCTCAGACCTACAACCAATCATAGAAGAAGAGGTGAATCCACTCTGCCAGGTACGACATGGGTTTCATCTCCAGGCTGAGCAAAAGCCAACATCAACGATACTCGGAAAATTCCTTTCAGACTTACATTCGCCATTACACCATTCGCAAGCCATATCGAAATCAAGTTAAGCTCATCAGAGATTTCTGCCTCTTAGAGACCCGTGCCCTGCCTCTTTTATTACTCATTCCCCAACGTCGTGGCATAAGCATGACCCGGCTTCTTCATCTCCAGGTCCAATCACACGGCCTATGATACCAGGGGAGGCTATAGGGCCGCTAGCGCACTCCGCAGTTGTTTCACGATCTCGTTTCACGTCAGGACATGGATCCAATTGGATACGGTCAAGGAAATAACAGAAGCCGAGGATGGCGGCACGCGACTCTTGCTTTCGCCGTCTATTGAACATGGCTGAGTATGACGACTACGATCGTGGCGTCAACACGGAACGTCAAGGCAGGTGGTGACAGAGCTTGGACTTTAAAATGACGGTCAGGCTGTGAATCACAACCTGAGGATGAATGAATGCATTGTGGGTGGTGTTGTCAAACCAATGCAAAGAGTCATAGCAGCCAACAGCGGCGAATCCTCGCCTGGCGCTTTTCGTCAATGCATTGTTTACATCTCGAAGTGACTTTCGAATCTTGAAAGTCATTCATGCCTTGATCTTTGACAGTACGAATCTTGTGCTTGGACCTATTGGTTTGACAGCTCAGATCGGCCAACTTCATAACTTGAATAACCAAGAACAAGTCATCGCTGTGAAATAAGCAAACCTCGGCTAAGGCAGCCTTCTCCCAAACTATTGACAGGCTTCTAGCGTGTTTCCAATCCTTCTAATGCACATCATCATAAGCCATGGCCATGCCACTCTTATTTCCCCAGACCCAGCCTCGTCAATAACATCATGGCCAAGGCTGACTGGCTCATACGAAGCACAATCAATGGCAGTTTGCTGTCAGAACCTTATGCCACTGCTATTCATAGTATAATTCGGTATTGGCTGCAGCTGTCACGAGAACTTCAAATGTTATAAATTACAAGGTGTCGCTGGCGGGGTCCCTTACATGGTCAAAGCAGTTGGCATAATCTCTATGCTTCGGCTTCCCCGAAGCCTTCTAGAACGATAACCGTATCACTTAGGGCCATGTTTCTGGTTCCTGATTACACTTTGATCAATAGGTTTTAGCATTGATCAGTTCCTGACACATGTCACAACCATTATGCCCAAAACTACAACAGTGCAGCTTCACTATACTGTTAGCCTCGTTCACATCACCAACCAACCACGGCATTGTGTCGAATGCGTCCATGGCATGCCTTTTTCCAAGCTCACCAATAGTGTATCACGGCGACCACGAGAACCCTCGGGCCATTGTCAGACACGGGCTTTGTGATACCATCCTTTGACAACGCATCTCGTCTCTATCCCGTGACGCATCGTCCTACGTGAAGTATCTTTCTTGGTTGTCTTGCTCTTTTACTGGTTCTGAGCACTTTACGGCTGATGTTATTGTCTTCTTGACCTTGTTTCTCCTCTCGTCAAGTATTGTGCTGGGATAGCACCAGTTCTACTCTAACATCATCAATGGTGGGAAAGGAACAGGTGGCTCATTCATTGCCCAAACTGGCTATACTATTGTACCAATGCCCACAAGTTTATTCAGTCCCGTTTCTTTGTGCTCCTCGGTAGGTAAATATGACGAGATTTGTGAAAGTCTTGCGTGTCTCTCAACATTGGCTCTGATATCTGAAGATCGCATCGTCTTCCCACATTCTGGGAATATTTGCACAGTTTTCCCTTAGTTTCTATAACTCTTTTGAAAACGGCGAAAGTACTAATAGTTAACAAGTACATTCCGTCCTTGATATTTAAACCCTCACCAAGCTTGATTATCAAGGCACTCGGAGACAGTGACTGTCATATAAGGGTTCTTTAAACTTAATTCCCCGAGACGGACTTCACATGTGTTACCGGTTACCTAGATGAACACCAAACATCATTCGTTGGTTGCATCTACGTTAGTAACAATGTCCCTATGACAGACAATGAGCACCCACTTGTATCATTCATCCAACACTTCATGGGATGCATTTAACGGGAGTCGTCATCGAACGCCAGATATTCGCAGATCCTTGATCCCGTATGATCATTACAAACCTGCTAGCAATGCTCGCTCATGCCTGATATCATGAACCAACTTCCACACAATGTGCCTTACCGCCAGACAAGAGAGGAGCGAATGAGCGTAGAACGTTGACAGAAAACTTTATTAAAATGTCTATTTCGTCCCTTTTACGGCACCTATCCATCGTCTCTAGTGACCGCCTAACTTAACACACACGTCTGACAGCAACTACACTATACAACTGGCGACGGGCTTGTCTTCCTTTTGGCGCTCGTGTTTCACCCGGGTCTTCTTGTCAAAGCCTGCCCATTGGTTATAACTACCAGGAGCAACGGTGACAAGACATCAAGAGCGATACCGAATAGGTGTGACATCAACATGCCATCGTCCGAACTCGCCTTAACCCCCTGGAAACCCTTTGCAATACCGATTTGACAGACGGTGTGTTTAGATGTTCCTTACTCATCCAAGCCAATGGTCCAGTCGGAGCTTTCAAGCTCGCTTTCAGCACTGAGACTCAAGGCCGAAGTTGAAACAGCAATCGGAACGTTTGCAAAGATTCGCAATGTAAGGGGGAAAGGCGTACAGTTTTGAAACATCATGATGTATTATCTCGAGGTCTGAAATTTTTGCTCGGTATAGCCGTCAACTCCCGTGGATTCCCCTCATATAAAATCGTCCCCCACGACATTGCAGATCTTGGCTCCTTGAATTATTCGTTTTGCAGTAGAAACCGCCCGGAACCGAAAGACATGTGCCGTCGAGTCGATACGCATACAAAGGGCAACTGAACAGAGGAAACCCATCCAATAATACAACCACCCATTACTAACAGCCCGTGTTGTGTCAGAAAAGGGGAAACTATGGTGCAGAGAATTTTGCAGGTGCGAGAAAAAAACAGGAAACGGGGAAAACAGTAAATAGGGAATAATGAAAAGGAGGTATCGCATCAGCCAGTGTATTTTCTTCCCCAAATCCACCACGAATAATCGAGTCCGGCTGGGGAAAGTCGTCGGTAGGGGTATGTGTTAAAGGTAAGGTGCGGTTCGTCACGTCGTCCTGCATTCGCTAGTAGTCGCGATCAAGGTAGGCGTCCTTGGATTTCGGATTCGATGGGCAATATAATCGTTCGAACACAGATGGTATAGTCGCCGCGGCACGTACTGGCATTTATATATCCAGACAAAAGGTTCATAGTCGCAAGGAACAATTAGTATGCCCAGATTTTAAGCTGATGTTGTTAGTCACTTTGCCCTTGGTATGCGATCTTGTCATAGGAAGCAACTTACCAGAGAATCCCAAGATCCTGTGCACAAGCTCGTGCCGTCGTTGCTTACGCCCAAACAGCTGACACGGTTCTC